GGTCTGAGAGGAGTTGGGTTCAGAGTTTGGACTGGGAGTTATACAGTTTAGGATTTTTGTGGTCCAGGGTCCAGGGTTTCAGGTGTTGGAGTTTTGGGTTTAGGGGTTTAGGGGTCTAGAGTCTAGGATTTAGGGTTTCGGGTGTTGGTTTAGAGTTTAGGGGTTTAGGGGTCTAGGGTTGAGGGGTTTAGGGTTTCGGGTGTTGGAGTTTTGGGTGCGGAAACATGGAGGTTTCGGTGGGAAAGAGAAGGGGGTCGGAAAGCACCGGGGTGTCACGGTAGGTCCGGAACCCTAAAGCTCAAGCCCCGATTAGACCCCAAACCCTAAACCCAATGTAAACCCTACATCCCTGGACCCTGACACCTGAGACCCAGAACAATGAAGCCAGCTTCTGAAGCTGGGCTTTAGGGTTTAGGGTCTGGGGTCTCTGGGTTCGGTCCGTTGTGGAAGAGATCTTTAGGCACTCAAGGCCAGAGGTCGGTCCTGAACTAGCCCAAACCCGAAGCCCTAAACCTGGGAGTTAGGATTAGGGACCCTCGGGGATATAGACCCTCTCAATAAGATCCCTTTAAAGAGAGCCAGAAGTAGGGTTCGGAAGGGGTATACCCTTTAAGAGGGTCCCCAAACCCTACAACTCCTAAGCCCGAACACCTCTGAAGCCCCTACAACATCGAAGTCCTGAAACCCCTGAAGCCCCTAAACTCATAAGCCCTCAACACCCCCACTTTCTCTACACCGACCCTAAACCCTAAGCCCTAAACACCAAAATCCTAAACCCTAAACCGAGATTCCGAGGTTAATGACTCCAATGGAGCGAACGACAGCAACAGTAGCAACACCAGCCGGGGAGCCCGGATCCTGCTAGCTCGGCGTAAGGGATTGAAAGAGGGGCTGTTATGGGGGGTTTAGAGTTGTTTATGGAGGCTTCTTAGTATTTGGATTGAAAGAGGGGGTTTTATATAAACGGCTTTATGGAGGTTTTGTATTAAGGGATAAAGAAGGGCTCTTAGCTTTTATGGAGGTTTTGTAAGTAGTAATGGATTGAAAGAGGGGTTTTAAATGGTTTACACGGGTTTTCGAAGCTAAAAGAGGTTTTATAGGGGCTTAAATTTGAAGTCGTTTCTGGAGGGCTTGTGGGGTTTTGAGGGCTGTATGGGCTTACGTCCAACTTTAACATTCTAGCATTGGTGGCATAATTGAATGTGAAAAGTCAGCATGTTTTGGCACATGCTATATATCAGAAGTCTATGGTTCCAGTGCATATCAAATGTGAGGGATTTGGGTTCATGCTCTTGTAATCAGGGTGAGGCATTTGGGATTCGGGCTTCTTAGGCAACATGCTCATTCGTACTGCTACGTTTCGTGAACTGTCCGTTTTAGTCTTTGTTGTCAGCATCACTGGTACTTTCATGTTTCGTTACTCTTGCTTTTGCGACAATGGCTACTCGCACTTGGGAAACCTGGCGACGGGTTCTTGCAGCTCATGTTTGTCATAGGGCCGGGCAGGCTGAATCGAGCTTGATGCTTTCCACAGCGGTTTAGGAGCTTTGCATGTTCATTCAAAAGTATAGCAGCGAAACACCTGGCAACTGAAGGGTTGAAGGGGCGCAGACTGCATGCCAGGTTTAGGCTTGAAGCGCCGCAAACCCTAAACCCTAAAATGGTTGATGTTGAATCCTTTTTCGCTCAGCGCGAGGCCCTTCAAGAGCTCAGGAACAGGTCCGGTTTGGGGTACATGTAGGCCCACTTCCGTACCTTCTAGCAAGTAACACCAAGGCGGCATTGCGCTGAGTGTTCTGCTTACCCCACACTGCATGCCCTACCTTAACCCGGAATGGCCTACGTACTATTTTAAGGACACTTGCAACGAAATCACATTACGATGATGTGCCGCGTTGCCCTGTGCGTCTTCTTGGCAGTCTGGCTTTTCCGGCTTCAAGGCTGCAGCGGCAGTGACCAACATCCTGAACAGTCAGGAAATGTCACGAATCCTGATGATGTCACAGAGATGAGCACGACTACTGCATCGTTCTTCGTTCCTTCAACTTCGACTTCAAAGACGACTACGACTATTGAGAGTAGTACGACGACTAATATTTTCAACGCAAGTACGACGGCAAAAACAAAGCACAAATCTGGCAGCACTTGGTTGGCCAAGGCCGGGCAAATTGGAACGTTAGCGTCGCCATTTGCCGTTGTCGGTTCATTTGGTCTCAGTGTGCTGCTCAAAGGTGCGTCGCAAGCTCTGACAGCGTTTGCAGCTGGATCTGCTGCTGCAGCTGAGTCTGGGGCGGCGGTGTCGGCGGCAGTGTTGGCGGAGCTGGAGACGTCCACGACGGCCACGAATGTGATCATCGGTGCTGCCGAAGTTGCTGCTGCTGCTGCATAGCTTATCATAGCTTCTCGTGTTTTTTTGATTCGCCAGCTCATGTGACAGAAAGTAAACTTATAGCAGTGCCCAGGGAAACAAACTGTCTGAGTGTTTGCCACTACTGTGCGCACCTTCGGAAAATATGCCGCTCCATGGATCCCTTGGTCTTGAATCCCCTGACTTTTGGTGCTACGTGATAATGCCGTGACTTCCAGGGTTTTGGTGGTCATAGCATCGGAGGAATACGGGGTTCAATGTCTTAGAAAGGCTAAATGATCACGGGCCATTCATACAGAAAGCCTGCTACAGAACCGCTCGCGATTTAAGCGGTCACAGCAGTTTAGGGTGTGGTTTTGAGCCTTCGGGTTCAGAGCCAGAAGAGTTCTTGCAACCCAAAATAAAGAGACGTCTTGATTGAAGCCCTGAATCGCAGGTTGTAGGCCGTAGTCAAGATAGATGTTCCAAAGCCCCAAATCCTGAAACTAACAAGATTTAACTCTGAACCGTAGAGCCTAGCGCCTCAAGCTCTGGATCCGAACTCCACAAGGTCTAACCTTCGACATCTGCATCCAACTCAAACCGCCAAGCTTCTGGCCTCCAGTTCTGCTTTGCAACGGGCACTTAGAACACCTAAACCTTTCTAGAGCTCTTATACAGAACCCTTGAAGACAACTCAGAACCCGCATGAAGCCCTTGTACAGCCCTTGAACCAGTTGAAGACACCGACGAACCTAAACCCTAAACCTTAAACGCTAATTACTAAACCTGAAACCTTAACCCCTAAACCCTGAACCCTAAACCTTAAACCCTAAACCCAAAACCCAGAAGGAAAAAGGTGCTAAAAAAAACCAAAACCCCAAAGTCCCTGCGGCTGGAGGCGGCGGTGCGCCTGAGGAGCTTGGATTCATCGCCTCTTCAGGCCGAGGCGATGTGCAACGACAACCAGGCGCTTCAAGGTTCAGAGCTTTGGGGTTTTGGGCTTAGGGGTTAGGGGTTTAGGGTTTAGGGTTCAAGGTTTTAGGGTTTAGGGTTCAAGGTTTAGGGTTTAGGATTCAAGGTTTTGGGGGGTTTCGGGCTTTTTGGGTTTAGGGTTTAGGATTCTTTTAAGGGATCTACAGGGGTTTAGGGTTTAGGGGCTATGGGTTCAGGGCTTTAGGGGTTTTGTGCTTGGGGTTTAGGGTTTAGGGTTTGGGCTTCGGGTTTAGGGTTCAAGGTTTAGGGTTTAGGGCGTGGGGGGCTTAGGTCTTCAGGGCTTTAGGGTTCAATTCAATCTGCAATTTAGGGTTTAGGGGTTCAGAGATTGAGGGTTTAGCATAGCAGTGCTTTTAATGTCAGGGGTTGAAACAGTGGTCGCAAGTGTTTTATGAGGCTGTCCTCGTTTGGTGTTGAAGGAAGTTCAGTATCGAGAAGTTGAAAGTCTGTTATGGTTTGCAGCGTCGGATCCCAATACCTGTAGCTCCTGAAGTGCCGCAAAGGTTGAGATGCACATCCAGTCGACGGACCTACATCCAGATCCACAGCCCGGTGCCCATGGAGGGCTGGAGTAATAACGACACACAGCGAACCTAGTCCATACCAGTGAACCCGATACTGGAGTAGAAGTCACACAGTAAATCTTAAATATTTATTCGGAATCTCAAACCTCAAGTTTGAAAACCGTGACTCTTCACCACCGTACACGGTTGCCTGGGATCCCAAAGCCCTACGTAGAACTCTAAGCTGCCACCACAGGTTCGTGCACTGCCGAGAGGTTCCCCTAAGGGTTTCATGATGGGTTTATAAGGGCCTTCATAGGGTTTACGACTATAAGTGTGTATTTGGTGTCCAAGTAGCCACAGAGTACACTGTGGCCACAAAGTTATCATATAAGAACTTCAGCTAAAGTATCTAGTATGGCATCGCGGAAGCACCATGAAGAAGCTCAAGAGTACCTGAAGGATTGCCAGAAGAGACCTGTTCAGTAAGCCGTTTGGGCATTTGTAGATTTTGAGAACTTATCTCTCTCCGTCCACTGGAGTGAGAGGTGGCTTCAGCACGACACTCTCAAATTGGTTGGCTTACTCTCTGATAGGGCCTGAGCCGCAACAGAGGGAATCCAAACGAAGGTCTTTACCTAGACCCCCCCAAAACTACCCTCTATAATATTTTATATACCCCCAATACCCACCGTTAATGACCATAAGGGCTCTTTTAAAGGGTGCTTGGGGGATCCTGGTAGGTCATCGAGTTCAGCGTAGAGAGGGATCGATTCATGCCTTGGGGACCGAACCTAGAGACACCAACAAAGAGGCCTAAGGAATGCAGGTTTAGTGTTTAGGGTTTAGGGTTCAGGGCTTTAGATGTTAAGGTTTTTGGGTTTAAGGGTTTAGGGTTCAGGGTTTAGCGTTTAGGGTTTGTCAGGATATTCAACTCAGCAACAAAAACCTTCCAAAAGCTCAACAAAAAGGCCATTCACCGGAGAGAGTTATTTCGAACCAAAGGGGAAAGTTGACGGCGCTCCGTTACTCCGCGGTGGCGCCGAAGAAAGGAAAGCGAAGCAGCATATCCTTAGATGTGGGCCCGAAAAGGCCCAGGTCTCAACTGTCCTTAGCCAAACCTTAGCAAGGAACAGTCAGCAACTGAAGGCGCTTCAGCCTTCCCTCCAGGGAGGACGCTTGCGCCTCCCTGCCACGTCTGCAGCACGAATGCGTGCCATGACCTGAAGAGTCCTGACACATTCTTGGACTGGAACGTCAAGAGACCCCCATCCTAAGCGCTGGGCAAGAAGAGAGGCCGGAACACTTACAGTGCGGAGGTGCGCGTGCGCCACGCAATTCCATAAAACATGCTTAGTGTGCGGACTGACCGGCTGCATGCAACTGTAGCACATGTCGCGCACCGGACCAGCCGGTGTCCACCGCGCGTCAGGGGCAAAGCCCCCGCACATGATGGAGACGCCGTGCCCGTCAACCTGGCCTGCGATGGTGCGCAAGCGTTTGACCAGCGCGTTAGAAGCTTGTAAGCCCTCACTGCGAGCATCACGAGCATCATTGCGGTTCGCGGCCAGCCAGCGCTGCAGCCTAACGAGCCGCCAAGACTCGCGAACCTCATGAGCAGCACGCTGCTGCTCAGTTTTCTCTGCGAGAATGTTCCATGAGACTTGCCCATTGGTCCAGCGCCCCCAAGAGCCGCTTCTCTTCCAAGGTGCAGGCAAGCTGGCATCTACGGCCTTGACGGGTCGTGCAGACATGAGGGCCGCACGCTGTGGTCTCTGACCGAGTCTGAGCTTGTACGAGGCCCATCTAGCTGCTGCTTTAAGCACCCTGCAGGCCGCGACCACTGAGAGGTCTGCCGTGTGGCCTAGCAACAGGAGCCGCTGCAGGTCTCTGCTGCTTCTGTCGCCCTTAGCATCACCCCCTTTGACCGCTCTTCTGAAAGTCTCAGTATACCAACTGAGCTCTTCTGCTTTCGGGACTCGACCGTTCAAGAGGCACGCCCAAGCCGCTATCGGACTGAAAACGGTAGCACAAAGGTTCGCGCGCATCTTCAGAGAAACTGGGAGCAGAGCGATACGACTTGCTACAGAGGTAGCCTTGCCCTTACGCTTCAGCTCTTTCTGAGTCAGCGGCCGGTCTGAGGGGCCCAGCGAAGCTCCGAGCACGTCAGCCGTATCGGCTGAGTTAGGGCTCCGACAGAAAAACTGGGTTTTGGTCTCGTGAGTACGCATACGCGAGACTTGTTCCAATTCCCCCCATGTGTCGAGGGCGATGCGAAGAGAGTCCTTTGTCGTGGAAAGCAGGGTCCTGTCGTCAAGGTACAACAGGCACTCCGTGCCCGGTGCTTGCCTTGCAGCATCTTGCTTCGGCGCCGCGAGCACAGCTGCCAAGCCCAAAGGGCTCCAGGGATCTCCCTGGGGGAGCCCTGCACAGAGCTCTAAGGGCTCCGGACACGTGACGCCAGCGAAGGTGACCCATCGCACATGTCTCTTCCACTGGTTCTCAAGGAGATCCAGAACAGTGCTTGGCACTCCCATGGCCCTGAGGCCAATTATCGCAAGCGGATAGTCGAGCGAGTCGAAAGCTTTACGATAGTCAAGAGCCACGCCATGACTGTAAGTCTCCCCCGGGAAGTCGACCTCAGTCGCAAGAAGCAAGACTTCGGGGTCGACCCCCTTGGAGCCGCCTGCCTGCCAGGGCTGCAGGGCCCGAGCTAAGTGGTTAGACAACTGAAGAAGTCTCAAGCGACCCCAGGCTCTGTAAATCGCACTGCTGATAGCGATAGGCCTGGTCTCATCCAAAGACGGGCAGATGCCCTTTCCCTTGGGAAGAAAGACTAACCTCCATTGAGTGAGGCTTTCCGGCCACTGGCCTTCCGATTCACAGTGGTTCAGGACCTCCGCGAGCTGGGAAAGCCCAGTCTCCGGGAGAGAAAGCAAGCAATCCGGAGTGAAGCCGTCGAGTCCGGCCGCTTTGCCTTTCATCTTCTTAAGGGAAGCTTTGAGTTCTTGGGCCCCTATCGGAGGGAGAGAAGGGCCCGGAGAGCGAGGACGAAGAAAGTCACCATACTTCTGCTGAAAAGCTTCGCAGTACGTGTCCGCAGGTTGATGAACCCCGAAGATCGTGCCCCAATGATCTTTGAGCGCACCGGCGGCCGCAGGGCGATTACTGAAAACCTGACCCTCCGCATTCTGGATGCATTGGGAAGTGGGGCCTTCGCTTTTAATCCAAGAGGCAGCTCCCGACAGAGAGTGGACGCGATGCTTCCACTCGGTTAAAGCCTTAGCCTGCCCCTTAGCAAGCTGGGCGCGCAGCCTTTTCTGGGCCAGGGAAACTGCGAGGCCCCAGCGGCCCTGAGCGACTGCCTGCCTCTCCTCTGCCTGCAGAGGAGTCCTGAGCAGCTTCTTGACTAAACCCGGGTCGACGGCGTTGCTTCTCCAGGATTGAACGTGGGCTTCTCTGAAACGCCGCAAGATTCTGCGGATCTGCCGCTCCTCAAGAGACTGCGCAAGCCCGGCAGCGTGAGCTGCCGTACGCAGTTTAGGCATGCTACCAAGAGGCCTCTCGCTACGCTCCTGAGGCACGCACTTCGAGAGAACCAGCCATTCCTCAGCCGCCTGAGACCAGAGCCGCCACTTGGACTCAACCGAGGGAGAGGCATCCAAGCTGCAGGCGCTGAGAGGCCACTGCGGCGCAGGACCCTGCTGGTCGCCACTCGACGGGTCTAAAGGTTTGTATGCTCTAGTTTTGGCCATTCTCCAGGCTCGAGGGCCGTTCTGAAACGAAACCTGAAGAGTGCAACTGGCGATGCTGTGGTCTCCAAGGCCCGGGAGCTCAGAGGAGCAGGAGACCTGCAGCCGTTCACAAACCCATATTGCGTCGATGGGATGGACACTACGATTGTGGCGAGCCACAGCCGCAATGCTAGCTCTTTCCGTAGAGAGAAGATCATGAATGGGACCCTCCAATTGATTCTGGTTACCATCAAGGCAAACGATCCAGTCATGACAGGAGGCGCCCTGAACCAGAGTGTTAAGGGCCTCAAGAAAACCTGTGTCTTCGTCCGGCACACGATAACCGCAGATCACCGTGACTGGAGAGGCAGCTCCATGAACAGTGGCCCTGAGAAACTGGAACTGAGCTGCACACTCGCTTTTGACTTCGGATACGCCGAGGGGCTCACGGACACAGATGGCTACGCCACCTCTACGCTTGCCCGTCTGCCGAGCCACGTACATTTCCCATCCTGAGCGGCGGGCCGTATTTCTGGCGCCTGAGAGCGCAGCATCTGAGAGGTTCAACTCCTGAAAACAAACGACCTGAATGTTGTCATCAAGGGCCGTTTTCAAGACCGCCTCCCCATTTTGATTCCAGCTGGCAATGTTCTGATTCCAAATGGTAATCATTCTGGGGTGAGCGGGACCCGGATTTTGGGCCTCCCCAATGCGCTGCCCGTTAAGCCCTTTGCAAAGGCTGCAGGACAACGCCTGAGGAGGCGCCGGCCTTCAGGAGTCGGTGGCCGTCTTTTTGACCTTTCTCGCGTCCTTGACTGCTTGCTTCCCAACCGCCTGGCAGGCATTCCAAACCTTCTTGCGCTTCTCAGGGGGGGGGAGCTTGTTGCCGTGGTTAAGCACCGCGAAACACGGGGCGTGCTGGAGCCAGCTGCGATTCACCAGGACGCCACAGGCCTGGCACTTGTGCCAGGGGACGTGAATGGTGCTACCGTCCTTGATCTTGGCGGGTTTGTAGAGCGACGGCTCCACCTCAATGTGATGGCTGCCCTTCCATCTTCTCTTATTAAAAGTCTTGATGAAAGCCGTCCACTTGAGGTTTTGACCCTCCCGAGCCTTCAGCAAACGATTGTGGGTGTTCTGCAAAGACACCGCCTTCGTGAGGGGAAAGGCCTTGGCCATGCCGTGCGCTTTGCGAAGGTGGATGTCCTTGGTTTGTGAGTGGCCCTGCTGTCCCACGATTCTGTGAACCTGAAAACCGCAGTTCGGGATGGGGCAAACCCACCAAAGCAACTTAGCGCCCTTAGCAGGAGCCTCAACTTCCGTCAACTGCAAACCGTGCGTTCCCACTTGAGGTCTGGACGACGACGACGACTCAGAGTGCTTCCAGCCCTGAAAAGCCTTCTTCTTGGCAATCTTCGCTTCACGCACCTTTCTCTTTGTAGCGGAGTCCATCTTACTCTGAACCCGAGGGCCTCTAGTCGCGGACACCTGGATCTCAGGAAGGCTATCCGCATCATACTTGTGCTTAGAGATGAGGTGTTGCCTACGGGCTTCATGGCAGCCCCTGACCAGCGGGTGATGCCACACCGTGTAATCGCATCCCGGTTCTTCACATCTCCACCAGAGCTGCCAACCGTCACGAGCCGTGTCCTCGGGGACCAAAAGCGGGTGTCTGGGGCCGCAGTAAGCAGACGGCGCGGGAGCGCATCCACAAGCTGTTTTCTTGCAGAGCCGTTTACGGGCCGGAGCAACTCGTGAGAAAGAGTCCTCAGGCCAAACCTCAGCGCTCGACCTTCCATCCGCCTCAGAGGCAGCTGGGCGGAGCCAAGCAGCAGACTCGGAACGAGAGTCTCGCTGGAGAGGAGAGCCCTCCGCCCGTCCTGAAGAGGTCGCAGGCTCCGGGTCCTTAGAGAAGCCCTTATGGACCAGAAGCGCACCCTCACTTTCCGCAACCTGTCTCGCAGTGGGAAAAGCGGCCACTTTCGGGGGGGCAACACCGTTCTTGGGCCCTTCAACGTATCCATCGTCAGAGGGAGGACCCGCCTGTGACCTGACAGACTTGGGGTCAGGCGAGGATCCCTGACCAGAGAAGCTGTTAGCCAAAACACTAGGAAACCCCTGCGATTTTCGGGGGCCCCGCCCTTCTGAGGCTTTAGCCCCACTCTCCGAAGGAGCAGCTGGGCAGGTGCCTCTGGAAGGAGCCGGGCAAATCCACTGGGACACTTCAGAATCACCAGTCACGGAACGACAAGGCGTGCCCGAGCCCTTACTGTTGGTGGGGGGACCAGAGCTCCTGCACCGGACGGAGTTGCTCCCATCAGGAGCGGGTTGGAGCCAACGTGACAGATCAGATCCTGCAGAGGACGGCGCGCTCTTGGGAGACTTAGCGCCTCCACCTAGGTAGCTTTGAGAAGCCGGGGGTCTACTGTCATCAAGCCCAAACTTGGCCCATTTCTCGGGAGGGGTCTCCGAAGAAGGCAAAGTGTAGAAATGTTTATCCTTCAGGAAAAGCATCAGAGGGGAGCTGCTCACCGAGTGCCGAGGAACAACCCTTTCCAGAAACTTCCATTTCCCATGCAAGTGCTTGAACACCAACACTTCAACTTGCAGAACATGCGCTGAGGCCATGGTGAGCCACGGGTCAAGCCATTTGGCCGGACGCCTGCAGGCTTGGAGATATTCCGAAGCGTCCTGAGGAATGGCTCCGAGTACCACTCGAGCACCCAGGCACCCTGGTTGTTCTCTAGCCAGTCTGTAGCCTTCGTACGGAGCGAGAGAGCCACCTTAGCGATCTTCTCCTGGACCTTGGTAGATACAGCTCCTTGCCTCATGGCATTGCCTGCCGCCAAACAACGGAACCCACAGTCCCCGAAACCTCCAAGGTCCCAGAGTTGAACCCCGTCGGGCCCTAATCCGCAGGCATCCTCAACTCGCTGAGCTTTGGGAGGTTTGTTTGGGGAGGGTCCCGCGTTACGGATGTTTTTGGCACCGCGCTTTTCATCCATGTCGATCTCACCTGCAGAGTCAGGGAGGGAAGCGTCAAACATCGTGGGTTGAACCTCATCACCATTCTCCGCAGCAGTAGTGGCATGAGCAGTGGAGGCCTTGTCCCCATCTTGCGGCGGGTCTTGGGGACGGGTGACCCACGCAGGTGCCGCTCTCATGGGGTGCGAAACCGGTTTAGTTGAGCGTTTCTGCCAAGCATGGATTTCAATGGTGCCTATGTCATCACCACATTTGAGAAACCATTGCCCGCTAGGTTCAACTGACCCAGGGGCCGCGCTGAAAGTCCAAATGCCCCTCGCTCTAGCTGGCGCTTGGATATCCGAGATGACCCTCCAGCCCTGAGACGTGAGAAGTTGCTGAAGCTGTGGTGGGCTCCAAGAAGACGGAACGTTCTTTGCAGCCCAGCGGCGTTTGAGGAGGGCGGCTTCGGAACCGTTCTCACCCGCAGGGATACCGATGAGTCCCAAGCACGATCCTCCACCTGATCTGTAAGCCAGAGAAGTTTTGGCTTTGTCGGCCTCGCGCTTCGCCAAAGCAAAGTAGGCCTGGGCTTTAAGCTTGTTGTGAGGGATCCACTTGATCGGGACTCGCTGGCCTGGGTCGGCCTGACCGTCAATCCTCTTAACAAAGAAACCTTTGGCACCTGAGTTCGCGAGGACCAAAGGAGACTTATCAGCAGGGAGCTTGAGGAAACCGCAGATTGCTTCGTCTCTCTGCTCGAGCAAGTGCCAACCGTAGCTCCGAACAGACAGAGCTTCCGGCAGCAAAGTTCTGACAGCTGAGGCGGGCTTGCGACACAACTCATCCCAGTCACAAGGAGGTTGGAAGGCCTTGGGAATGATGACCTTGAGGGTAGCTTGCTTGATCTGCTCAGGAACCGTTTTGCATTCGACAACCTTAGGAACGCTTCCCCACGTCGGAAGATCTTGGGCGAGAGCTGTAGTCCACACCTCTTTCCACTTGCTATCAGCAAGGCGGATCCATGTCTTGGTGGCTGTGAGCCCCTCCGGCGCTTTGGGTCCATGCCAGTCCTTGATGATCAGAGCAACTTTGCTCTTGAGTTCATGGACCTTAGCTAGCCCCATCAACGCTTTGGCTTGCTCGAGGGTAACAGTGGCAGCCACGTTGTCGCCGGGCTCTTCGCCTTCCTCTAGTGACTGATCTAGCGTAGCTGCCGAGCTGAGAACTCCCGGCCACCACTTGGTGTCAATCGCCCAGGATTGCTGACCCTGAGGGCCCTGCGCATCCTTCCTAGACTTACCGCCACCCTTGCCGGACGCAGGAGTGCTTGAAAGAGCCCTAGACTGGGGCGCAGACGGCAGCTTGGGACCAGGCCTTGAGGCAGGCCCTGGCACAAACCTGGGAGCTGGCTCAGGCACCTGAGCCAGCGCCTTAAGCTTGCTAAGAAGGCCCTTCGTGCCAGTGGCTTCACACTGTGTCACTAGTGCTTTCAGCTGCGCCAGCAAAGTGGCTTCCACCTGAGTCTGAGGTGGGGACTGCTCAACTGGTGCCTGAAAAGAGACGCGGCGAGGCGGAGCATCATTCGATGGGCCACCTTTGCCCTTTCCCGGACTTCCCTTGGGCCCTCGCTTCCCTTTGCCTACGACTTGCCAACCTGGACTGGTGCTCCTGGGGCGATCACTAGGCGCCGGGACCTTGGGAGTAGGGCTACGGCCCCTTCTGGGAGACGGCGCAGCTTCAGATTCGGAATCCCCGCCGTCATCGTTCAAGGACGACAGCAAAACTTGAAGCCCTTTGAGAAGCTCTCTTCTTGTCTCTGGCGTTTGGTGGCCGCGGCGCCTCCGCCACCTCCATGCCAGTACTTGCGTCTCCCTCCATGGCTAGCTGGAAGCAGCTGCTGGTCTTGACTCGTGTTTGACGGTAACAACGACTTGACTTCTTCTTGCAGAGTGGCAGCTGCGGGTACTGAGGCTCGGGCCGACTCCTTGTGCACTCTGTTAGGGAGAAGACCCAGCCAAAGACACTCATGATGGGCCCTATTCTTGCAGATCCTTCTGACAAGACCCGTTGGCATAGAAGGACAACGACGAGCCAGACGAAGCCTGCGAGTGCGAACACGGCAAGTAAGACGACCGCCTACGCACCTAACTCGACGTCCGTTACCCGCTCCATACTTCCTAGCAGACCGAAGCCAGACCGGTTGCACGGAGGAGGTGGGGGTTTGGGCGTCTCTCCTGAGTCTTGCCCGTTGCGCTTGACGGGCTTTGTGTTTGCGACAGAGTTTACCACGCAAACGTGAAACGAGTTTACCGTGGACAGTGTGCGTGACACGCGGTTTGCACCTTTTCTTCTTGAAGACCTTCCACAGACAGACGACGACGCCTCTCAGGACAACCCAAGAAGAGCAGAGGAAAGCACAAGCAAGGTAGCATTTCCCGAAACGTGGCCCCCACTCCGGGCCAGAGAGCTCGACAACGAGGTCGAAGAAAAGTGAGAACTCGAAAACTGACGAGTTGAAAGAAGAGAGCGAGTCCGGACGAACGCGAGCCCATGGACCCAAGTGCAAAAAGTCTTGACAAACGATCGTGGGTAAGCCCACGGCCGTCAGACATACGGCACTGCAAACAGGAGCACTCGTGGGTAAGCCATATATACGACTTTTCGATGTGCTCCCGCCGCCAATCGACGTAGCACCAAGGCATGTCCTTAGATGCGCTCCGCAGACAAGTACCTTAGTCAGAGAAGCCGGGGCTTCCCTGCAGCAGGAGCCAAAAGCCAGCACAGTCACATGACAGGAGTGCAAACAAACGTACATGCAGTGAGAGCCTACAGGACCAACCCGCCGCCCCCACAACACACACAACCCAAGCATGTGCGTCGTCGTCAAGTCGTCGACACAGCATGAGCGAGCGCTAGGAACAGGGACCTAGCGTTCGACAGCAGAAGGGTCCCGGCCCCATCTGTTGCGCCAGAGTTCATGTTGCACATGGCACATCCACTCCCTGACGCGTTTGAGAGCGACGCCACGCTCACCGCCACTCACAGACCACCCAAATCGAGAAACGAGTGGGTTAGTCGGGCAAGGCACCGAAGAAGGCCGTCGGGGGCATTCCCAAAAGACATGCCTATGGGTCCCAAGACATCCGCAATTCCAAATGCATCTGTCCGACATGCCCTCAGGTCTGTTGGAAACATGGTTCCATGTGGCAGGAGTAAACGTACTCCCAGACGCCACTGCGGCAGCAGCCGCACTGGACGAGGCCCAGTCACGGACTCCCTTCCACGAAACTCTGGTCAAACCTGGGCCACCGGCCTGCCAAAGGTCCACGCCATTAAGCTCGTGACGGTCACTGCCAAGCCACTGCAGGGCGATCCACGCCCTCCAGCCCTCACGCAAAGAGTGCTGCTCGCGGCCAATGCGACGCGCTAAGGCCGACGCCGTAAGCCGGGCCCTCTGCCGGATTCCAAGGTCCAAAACAGCATTGCTGAGAGCATGACGCCACTGCCAAGCCCCTGCAACCGTCCAGCCACGCTGGAGAAGCCAGTCCTGCAGAGCCCGGCAGGCAGTCCCTCGGGCAGACGTCCACCCGACTGGCTCCTTAGCCGCTCGCCGAAGCAACCCACCAACTAGCCTAGTCGCCCACAGAACGTCCAGGTGACAGTTGCCCCAGATAAGGGCCCGAACCCAAGGGCTACTGTAATGGATAGTCCCAGCAGCCCTCCACAAACAAGTCCAAAGCTGCTTGGAAGCCGTGAAAGTGGGAGCCCGAGCAATCCATCCGTAGTTCGCTTTAGACAACGCAAAGCATTTGGCCTCGCGAAGAAACCTGCTGAGCCCAAAGCCAACGCACCCCAGAAGTCTAAGGCGGCCCTTAGCACTACTCAGCCGGAGCTCCTCAGCCTCGGTGTGAGCCCGGGGCCCACAGCACGTAGAAGCACCTAAGATCTTGACATGCTTGTGCACCTCACTGGGCGCAAAGCAATCCTGGAGCTTGTCACGCATCCTAGCGCTAGTCCCAGTGGCTTCAGTTTTAGAGGCGTTCTCAAGGACTCCTACCTGATGGCTCCACGTGGCCCAAGAGCCCTGGTGAGAGACCAGAACTGGGGCGCGGTCCGCAGTAATGGTCCTGTCGTCGACATACATCGTAGTATTAGCGGGAGCCAAAGCACTACTCTGCACTGCCCTGAGCCCCGCTTGGGTCCAAAGCGCCATGATGAGCGGGCCTACCGGGTCACCTTGGGGCTGAACCCCACCAGTCAACGGCACCGGGTGCGTATGCTGTTGAAACTGTATGAAGCGCTCAAGCCGCAACCACACTATCTCAAAGACTTTAACCAGTCTCGGAGGCCAGCCATACTTATGCAACATAGCAGTCGTGACATGTGCATCAAGACAGTCAAAAGCCTTAGAAAAATCTAAGGCCAAGACCATGCCCTTCTCGGAGAGCTGATCAAAAATGCGAATGAGAGTAGTGTAGATGTCTTCACCAGTGATAGCACACACTTCGGGAACCAACACAGTCCGCATCCAAGCCTGAAAAGCGTTGGAGTGATAGAGCGTGGACACCCAAAGCCTCCACCAAGTGCTCATGATCGTGATGGGCCGAAGCTTGTCGATAGGCACTGTTTGGTTTTGGACATGCCTCCCGGGTTTAGGCAGGCACACCATGCGCCCCTGGCAAAACTGCTCAGGCACGGCCCCTTGGTCAACCCACATCCTAGCAAGCTCCGCAAAGACGTCGAAGACCCCGCTGGGCAAGTGCTTAACTTCACCCCCCGTCCAACCGTCAGGCGACCCAGCCCCGCCACCCTTACGAGCCCGGACAAGGAGGTCCGCGCCAGAAGGCAAAGGCAACACCACTTCTTGAGCAGGTTGCTCAACAGTGGCCAACAGAGCAGCCTTCCGAGCATCCAAGGAGGGCCTGTTGCGATCGAGGCGGAGCCAAAAATCACTCCAGTAGTCATAGATAGCACTAGAGGCTTCCACAACCGAGTTGGAACGAACAACCTGACCCTCAGTCCCGACAGTACTGACACAGCTGACGTGCGGATGGTCCTTCGCCTTAAGCCATCTGCTGACTTCAGTAGTGGAGGAGAAGAGACGCTCCCTCCAACTCTTGAGGCTACTGCGTTTCACCTCTTGCTCATGTTGCTGCAGGGAAGCATCAGCCTGTTGGATCAGATTCCGCGTGACTCGAGGACCAGGGGAACCGAGACGACAACTAAGCGACTGAAAGTTGAGGAGCTCCTGAGCAGAAGCCTCTCCAGCCTCAACCTTAGCAGCGATTCGCTGGTAGTCATACAATCTTGCCAAATCCTTGCGCTTTTTCCTAGCAGCAATGTTACCGTTAGAGAGCCTCGGGCCTCTACAAGCCTGGTTCTCCCACGAGACAAGAGCCTGACCACCTTTAGCCTCAAGTCTGGAAGCAGCAGGGGGCTGAACTTGAACGGTTCCAAAAGCCAGTACGAAGGTCTGACGCAGAGCCCGCTGGAACTCATCCCAAAGCTTCTGAACGTCCGTGCAGCCCTGGCGGAGCAAGGAGCTCAAAACCCCAACTTGGGGGCTCGCTTCCCAGGCAGAGGCCAGTGCAGCTCGCCACTGATCTGTAGACACCTCAGCGGGTCGCCGCAAGTCTCCTGTACGTGGCAGGACGGCAACGCGGACAGGTGTGTAGTCGGCCCGAAGCTGGAACCTCAAGTCCTTATGATCGCTGATGCGCTCACTGCCCGCAAGGACAGCAGACATGGCAGCAGATCTGTTACAAGCGACCCAGTCGATCTCCCTCTGCCCTTCCCACCTAGTGGGCTGGCCAGTACCATGGTACTCCCCACCGAGAGCCTGAGCCACCCCCATGACACTAGAGTCGGAAGGAAGCTCGTTGTGATCACCCATGAGGACCCAAGGCTGTTGTGGAGGGATTTTGTCAGCGATAAACAGATCCAACAAAAGCGCGCCAGCCTGCGAGGGACCATCTTCGTGGGGGTGGGTGTACATATTGGCGACCATCCAACCCCCGGCCCAAACACCGAGGACCTCAGCATCGGACATACTACCACCCCATGAGGGGCGCTGAGGGATGGATTTGCGCACCAAAGTGATGACACCACCAGCCCTCCCGTGAGCCCCAGAGGCGCCCTGAGAGTAACCACAGTAACCATACCGAGAGGCGGTTCGGAGAAAACCCGTAGTTTCGCTACTTGACATGGCAGTTTCTTGCAAGCACACGACATCCCGGTTGTCCTGGGACAGATGCTCCCGCATGTAAGTCCAAGCCGCAACCGCACCGCCAGTGTTCAAACAGAGAAAAGACAAGGCCCTGGCCGTAGCACCTTTGCGACCACAGGGGCCCGGGTGCGCGGCCTCACCAACCCTCTCAGCACGGTGCCCACCCAAGCGCTGCTTGGCAGACTGAGCAGCAGACAGGCGCGACGCAGGTCGCTTCTTAGGTCCGCCACCTGAGGCAGAGCGCGCCGAGCGAGGAGCCCGCCCGTTAGCCTTCGCCTTAGCTTTAGCCGACATGGCCGCCCAAGCCCTCTGTCGAGGAGTGAGCGGGTCATTGCAACCCACAAGCTCATCAACTTGAGCAGCGGTAAGACCTGTGTGCCGAAGGAATTCCTGTCCGGCCTCGACATCCCGGTGCTTAAGCCTCAGCCACCACTGACGCTTTCGCGTGCGGACCAGCGGCATTTCTCGGATTCGGCGCAACCTTTCATCGCACGGAAGGTGCCTGACGTTAGGTGCTTCGTGTTGTGGGACCGTGAGGCACCTCCTACATACGACGAAGCGGCCTCGCATGTCCGCGGGCCAAGCCGCGGGACGGTACACGACAAGGTCGTGCGTGCCCTGCTTCTGTGCACGCTCCTGGGCATGCTTTGTC